CCATGGACTATTCAAATGTATGTATTTTAATTTCCAGATATATAGGAAGTCTGAGGCTACCATTGTACCTAATTTCTACATTTTGATTGCATTGTAAGAACAGGGTATCTATTATGTTGATTTATTTGCATGCTTCTGTTTGTTTTTGCTCTGGTGACCTAAGATTTTCTCTTTTTTCTTATTCAGAAATGTCCTCACAGTGTGTCAAAATGTACTTTTTTTATTTATCTTCCTTGGAATTCAGTGGATTCCTTTAATTTGTGGGTGTTTATATTTATTTTGGGAAATTTCTTGGCTATTATTCAAATGTTGTCACCCTTTTTTTATTTTATTTTTTTAATTTCTGAAATTCTTATTAAATAGGTATTGGAATGTCTGCATTTCTCCTTTATATCCCAACTTTATCTTCTGTATATTCTTTGTGATATTCTGGATCATGTTTTCAACCTGGTTTTTCTGTCCCAAAGAATGTTTCCTCCTGAAAACAGCCGCCCCCCTGAGCTTTCAGGCCTATGATGATATGGGTTGCTGACCTCAAATACTTATTTATCTCCATTTTGAAATGATACTTTCCTATCTTTTAAAAAACGTTCTATCTATGAAGCAAGTTTATACATATGTCTGCATATATGTGTGTATATGTGTGTATGTGTGTTTGTGTATATATGCATATATAAATGCACATGCACATTTTAAGCTAAAATCTTGTAACTTGTGATAATAATATTTTCAAACAGGACCAGGGTAAATTTCTATCTTCTGTGATGGCCTGGGAAGAATGCAAGAGTGAAACTACATAGAAAATAGGCAAACTCCTTCTTAGGAATTGGGGAGGCAAAGAGTGTGTCCCTGCATCTCTGAGTTGGATACAATGACTTCTGACTATGTAGAGGTCCTGGAATCATTGTTGGTGTATTGGAATTCCCAGCTACCACAACTAGACTGGCCCCTTTTAGAGTTAAGCCAGAGTAAATAAATACAACCAGATGGGGCAAAACCACAGTTAGGCCCTGGATAGATTTGGATGGAGTAGTTGGACTCCTAGATGTTTAACTGCAAAGGCTAGCTTTGGTCATTTCAGTTCCCTCACAATAACTCAAACCCACAATTTACTGATCCCATGTTTTGGATGTCACTTACCTGCATTTTGGCAAGAATTTACTATACTTTTAGTAAGGTATCCTATCTAATAAAAGAGAAACATGGTAATTAGCCATACCTCTGCTACCCTTCCCATTGGCTAATCAGGGAGATATGCAAATTAACTGCCAACCAAGATGGCGGCCGGCAGCCAGGCAGCTGA